AATCGGATCTATTCGTATTTCTATCATACATCATGGTATACATGCGGCTTGTCCTGCTTCCAATGTCCCCACGTCCCTTTATCGGTTCCCAAAACCCATAAAGCTATCCCTCACAGGTACATTCCCATCAATCGGCCTGCTATACCTACTACTAACAGTTTTCTGAGTCCTCGTCGTCATATACAAACTCGCCGGCATAGGCGGAGGCCACAAATCTTGAACAGTGACGCCAGTCATCCTCGGTCCGGTAGCGGCTGCCATCGGGGGCCGGGGAGATAGCAAGGGGTCAAACACGCCCGAAGAGGGGCGACGTTCTCCGTATGTAGTCGACCGGTTGTAGAACTCTTCGTCGCCATAATTCATACTTTGGACAGGGTATGTGTAGCCTCCAGTCTTCGGGTTGTATATGCCGCGCTCCTGGTAGTTGATCCGCTCTTCGGGTGAGAGGAAATTGTCGTCTTGTGCTTCTGCTTCATTGATGCTTCCTTCTTTCCTGAAGTTGAATGGAGTGCCGATGCCGCTATCTTCGGATCCTTTGAGCTCTTCAGTCTTTCGTTGGGTGAGTTTGGGTTTGGTGGTGATCAATCTGGAAACGGATAGTGGGTCTTTCCTGTCGAAACCGAACGTGGCCATCGTGTCGCTTCGTTTGAGGCCACTAGAACCAACAGTCGTTGTTCGAGTTATGCCAGCCGCCTCTTTCTTGGCAATGTGTTGTTCCAACCAGGCTCGAATACCGACTAATGCCGTGGCACTGATCTGTATCATCAAGACTATACTCACGAGACCAGAAACGCTCGCTGAGGTCAGCACCGCGTCAGCGACGCAAAGTGATATGGCACGCAGTGTGGCGAAACCCTGTAAGAAGGCGAATTGGCCCAGCCCCAATAGTAGCTGGGTACTGATACCACTGATGAGGTAGATGCGTTGCGGTGTCTTCGCAACCGCGATAGGGCCTTTAATGCCGGCGAATGCTGCGGGTGAGGGATGCGGGATCTCTGTACGAAGACGAACGATGGAGAATCCCACTGCTGGGAAAAGGAATATGAGACAAACGAGGCCCATGATGCCATGTGTGTCGCGGAAATGACGAGAGCTTCCCATACCGACCATACCTAGGACTATACCAGTGATGCCTAGAATGGCAAACGTAATCAACAGGCCCATGCGCCATTTCCTGTTCTTGGCTTCATCAACTGGGAAGCCGGTCAGGACAGAGAACCGCCAGACTACGCCTAGGACAAGGTATAATGGAAGGAAGGTAAGAAAGGCGAGACCAGCGAACAAGACGTGTAATCCTGTGATGACTGCGAACGGGACGAGCGCCAGGCCATTGATCTTCACACTCTGGCTTTCGATGACAATCTCGAACATGTTTCCTTCGGATAAAACTGTAATAGGTCCTCGGGGCAGTGCTTGCAACACCGTTGGGTCGAGAGTCTGACCGAGTTGGCCCATCGCTTTGCTCATCATAGTAGCGTTCGCTTTGGCTGCAGCCATGGCACCGAAAGCTGCTGACGCGATGCCGCCGATTCCCTGACACGTGAGAGTATCGACCAATTTCTGTGCGCCTTTCTGCGCTGTGGCGGGGTCGATAGCTATAGGGAACTGGCTGGTTCCAACTTGAGATTGACGGGCGGTAATCAGACTAGATTCTACTGCGATGTGTCAATATATGCAACAACTCAGCCGGTAGCATTTTCTTACCTACACTGGAATCCTCGTGGAGCTCTCCGACAATGCTTCGACGTGACGGAGGAGCCACATCAGATTTTGACATGCCCTGTGTGAGGTTTCTGACGATCTCCGCAACCAATATCGTCGCTTTGCCTGTAAGCCCTCGCGCAAAGCCAACAGCCGAGCCATTCAGAGTATCGTTGAATTGTGTTGGAGCCAAAACTGGCACATTGTCGTATGCTGTATCCGGAAGGTCGCCGGTGATCAAGTTCTTGACTCCTCCGACAGAATACATCGCGCTCACAACGCCTTCGATGGTACCCCTAGCGAAGCCTTCCGCTGCCTTGGCGCCGTCGAGACCCTGTAATGCTTGAGGCGGGTTATTCGCAATGAACGATTTCGCTTGCTGTATGGCGGTACCGTTGATGAGCAGGTTGGAGAACAGGTTTTGCGTGAAACCTTCCGCAGCCAAGGCCGTTTGTTCGTTGTCGCTGTCAATATTACTAGCGATCATTGGCGGAGCATCCACTGCTTTGAAGTTCAATCCGATGGCGATTCCCATGCCTATACCCGCACCAGCCCCGGCGGCCATAGGTCGGAGCATGGCCTGGAGCTCGGTCATGTTGGGGAAGGCCGTCACAGACCCGATGTCTAGATTTGAAAAGTTGCTGCCCTGAATGAAAGACTGGCTAAGGCCTCTGGCGAAATGCTTTACAGTCCTCGGAAAGTCTATCGTGTCTGCTGTAGGATCCACAGATTGACGCTTCTGATTTTCAGATCCTGATGGCTCCGATGCTGTCAAGCCCAAGCCGTTTCTTGCGCCTTCTCCTAGGCCCAGTCCTGCTGCTGCCGCGATCTTGGGAAGATTCTGCATAAAGCTCGAGACACCGGAACTGTTTCCCAAACTCTTGATAGTGGCTCGAAGATCAATATTGGATACAATCGGCATTGCAACCCCAAGACCAAAATTTCCAGCTAGACCTTCAATGCTCGAATCAGACGAAGGCGCGAAACGTTGCTCTGTCAGACCGAACCCTACTGCAGTCGCGTTACCAATGCCAGATGCCAGGGCAAAGGCCGCAGGGGCGAGAGAGAAATTGTTGCTGTCGAAGGAAGGGGTGATTTGCCTCGATAGGCCGTTTCCAAGTTGCTGAGCGACGAGGTTCGCACCACTTGCTGAAGCGTTGTAGGTGGTGGCGATACTCGAAGCTATCGCGTTGGCTTCCTCCATGTCGGTCAGGTTGAGAGCAGTCGTTGTACCCATGCTGCTAATGGTTAGTCTGTTCGTTGTGGTGGGCGCCTACGTACCCTAAACCTATACCCAGAAACAAAGCGGGTGTACCAAGGGAGCCCGTCATCAAGTCCCCTAGGCTGCCCAGTACACCGGCCAATCCACCTGTGAGATTGAACCCGCCTATACCACCAGCACCCGTCAAATCTCGGAAAGTACTACTGATGTCATCCTGCAAGTCCCTCCTCTTTAGTTCTGACCCCTCTTTCGACCGAACGTGCTTGATACCATCCGTGAGATTGGCGCCAAAATTCTGGAGACTTTCCGAACGAAGCCTCTCACCAAGATCACTGGATGATAGTGCGATAGCTTCTGTTAGTGACAGTAGCGCACTGCGCAACCTTATGTCTTGATTGAGCGCATCGATGGTCTGTGTAGAGAAGATTGCTGTGAGGCTGTCTGGGTAATGCTCGCTCGCGAATGATCCCCGTGAGCCGAACCAAAAGGCAGCCGATGAGTAAAGCAAAAAGAAGGTCGTAAAGCATGCCAGTAGGTGCCAGACCGGCCTTTCAGAAGCAAACGCAAACATTATTATAAGGAAGTAGTGGGGTATCTCAAATACATGTGCAAGAAGAAACCAGAAGGCGAATGTGTCAATGGCGGTGGCCTGCCACAACACTCACTCAGGAACCAAGAGCAGGCGCCCGGCCAAGAGCCACAGCGATACTATATGTCGAGCAGAGTGGACATGGTGATGCTGTCCGGGGTGCCGTTCTTGAAACATCCTAGACGTAGAACTAGAAACGCTAGAAACATCAGAAACATGCCCACTTCATGTCGTACGTGCAGCATATCAAAGAGGCGCATTATGCGCTGGGGCCTGTTACTCCGTAATGCTGACACTTGCGCGAGGATCGCATTGCTGTAGATGGAGGACTGCTCGCAGTGAAGAAGTCTTACTGTAGGACAGGTCAGAGAAATATTTCTCCAAATCGAAGCCATCTAGCCGCCCGCATGATCGCAAAACCCATCTGTGGCCGAGACCATCTCTCGACGTCGCACAGGGTGCTGAAGGAGCAATAAAACAGCATTGCAGAGGGCTTTACCTCACTGCCGGGCTGTCCTAGTGGATGTGATCATCCCGCGACCGGCCCGTTCGGTAATGCGACGATCTTGAAACATGAGACATTGGCCAATGACCATGGACAACATTGAAGCTGTGTGATGAGCATTTTAATCGGCCAGTCAAGGTGCGAACAATGCCTGTAATGCGAGCGAATGGTAGTTCTCGAAGGACAAGAAGCGCGTGCCACCGAACATTGCGGTCTAGGATACCTTCGCGAGCTCCGATGCTGAGGCTGTGTCTGTGGGTTAGCGACTGTGGAGCATGTGAAGTACCAGATTTGCATTCATGGCACGCGCGACAAATTTGCGTTCTCTGTGACACGTGCAGACAGCTCTCCTGGAGCCGCAGGTGCTTGACAGTTCGCAGGTCGTGTTACTCAGGCTGAGTAAGGTTTGAGAACATCAGTGTCCATCGCATCCGTACTTTTAGGTTGAACGGAGCTGATACGATTGCGATGTTGAGTTCGGTGTGCAACGGCGGAGAGAGGTCACGGATAAGTCGAAGGAACGAGTGAATATGGAAGGAACAGACGCGTCACGCGTCGCGTGTTGAGCAGCTGCTGACTAAGCGCGCGGCGGCTGATCTGCGCCGAGACGAGGCGCGTTTTCCCGCGTTCTGCTTCCTTGCCACAACACGAAACCGACAGCCACCTCTATTGCCCAGAGATGCAGTACACCCGCGATCTACCACACGCGACGACGGAGATCAAGGACTTCGCCTGCTCTATTCCGGCTTGGTGAAGATAATGCAGAGATGCCATGGGATGGCGTGTATCTGGAAACTTGGGGAACAACAAGAGTCGACGCACTGGGCTTTGAGTTTGCCTTAATATACTTTAGTATTCACGCTCCTTAATATGCTCAAATGACTTCCTGTAATGACTCTTGGAATCTCCCAACCCCCATTGCACGATACGAGACGATCTCATATTGCCACAACATCTACATCACCATCTTACTCTAATATAATCTACTCCGCATGATACAGCGCATTCATAGCCTTACCCGACCCAAATCCATGAGCCACCTCCGAGTCATGATCTACTGAATCAGCATCATCCCATTCCTCATCCTCATCCTCCTCACCATCACCAATAACAAACATACTCTGCAGCTTCTCCAATTGCTCCATATGATTCGCAGACATCCTCTTCCTTTCTTGAGCAGCACTCTCACGCATGACAAGCGAGTCTTGACGCTCAATCGGAGTCCACGACACCTTTTCTGGAACCCCGTCGTCCGTCCCACGTTCCAAGTCCGCGGGCTTCGTACCTGCAGGTAAAGCGATAGCTATGGCTACACGGTTGATGATGTCTAGCGCTGAGGGAAGAGGACGGTGGTAGGGAGGTATGACTAGGTTACCGACGGTTTCGAAGTGGCTGAGGAGGGAGAAACGGGGGTCGGGTATGGAGAGACGTTGGGATTCTTCGTCTGTGGTAGTAAATGCTGGGTTGGAACGGGGAGATGTGCGTCGCGAGAAAGTGTAAAGTCGGACCGGGTGGACGAAAATTAGAATTAGGAAGATGGTTAGCAAGACCGCGCCTGCGCAGCTTGAGACTATGGCACCGATTTGGTTGTGGTTTAATGCCATGGTCTCTGATCGGCGTTGGGAGGCTGGGCTTCGTCTACGTATCTGGCGGCTGAAGGGGTGTTGGAGGGCGGAGTTGAAGCATTGAGATAGGAATCATGTTGACAGTCTAGGTCGACAGTGTGTTCAGAGTCCGGACATGTAAACCCACAGTGTGTGGCTCTTAGTCAAATTGCGGACCGTAGAAGTTGTTGGAGCACATCATGGTCTAGCCGACTCGACCAGCCGATCTTCTGTACTGAGTTGCGATTGGTATGTCTGTGTCTAACGTAAGAACTGGTCGTCGAGCGCGTTGTAGACTCCGTTCAATCTCCTGTTGGCGTTCTTCGTTGGCGTTTCTCCGACGTCGGTGTCGAAAGTAGCTTATAACTCCGACGACGATGGCTAAGATAGTTGCAGAGCCTAGTATGGAAACTATAATGATGATCGTTTGGTTGGAGATGCCTTGGGGTTGCAGCTCCTCGACTGACGCTTCGGCGGATGCGTCAGCCAGATCGGCTTCTTGGATATGTGAGGTGAAACTTGATGTAGCCATCTTTTGGTAAAGCAGATGACATTTGGAACTGCGATTATGGTCTTTGAGAGTAGAGCAGGATTCTATAACTAACCGGGAGCATGACCGGGGATCATCTTTGTTTGAAGAAGTTGCAGGAGACAAAGCCGTCAGTGTGCTCCGCCCAGTTGTACCACCGCAGATCACATTGCATACAAAGACGATGTACAAAAAGTACTAATGGCGAGATATCATAATTGGAAGTGATGGCTTATTGCACCGATACATACTTAAAGTCCTACCTTGTCTTTGAATTTCTCCCACTGCGTTTGTCGAGCTTTCTTCTGCTCTTCGGCAATCCGATTCCAGTGCTCCCTGTAATTTTGAATGAACACTCTCGGCTTCCATTCTTCTCGCATCTCCTTGCAACGATCTTCCTCAAGGAGACTTTTCTCGGTATTGTAACGCTGGAACCATCCTCGATGAGTGAGGCGGTCGTGAGGCTGAGGCGAGCTAGTGACAGAAGAGACTGCAGACTTCCCCCACGTGCGCAAAGCCTGGAGATGGTGCTGAAAAGATGTCTTGCGTGGCGGTGTGTTAGTGAACGGAAGTATCGATTTCTTGGAACGACCGAAGAAGGTTCGTTTTAGCTTTCGTGAAAGCAGGAATGCAATGCCGAGTATCACGGCAAGGGTAATCGGAATGATGATCAAGGACCTGCGGTCGATCTTCCAAACATTTCGCGTCGACATGATACGCGCTTCAGTCTCGGTAGATTGTGAACCTGAAATGAGGCTGAGATCTTGGGTGATGTACTGTCTAGAATGAAATTGCGGTGAGCGATTCCGTGATAAGGTCGAGACAAAGAGGAAGTCGTGCATGGACAAAGCGATCCAATCAGCATCTAGGCGCTAGTAAGTCTACAATGGTTGGGTGGTAGTAACCTATGTGCAAAAGCCATGATGGAGAACGAGTGGACAGCATTGTTCACGATGTTTTCCCGTCGTATGGCAGCGGTCTGCGGCGTGGTGTGATGGATGCAAGTAGCGGTGGCGAGCGCGTGATGGTGAGCCAACCAACGACGTCATGAAATCCTCCATATTATCGAGGCCTCTCCCGCCCGATCCGCAACCTTCATCGCTTCTTCCACCTTTGCTTTTGACCGACTGCATCAGTATCATGTCTGGTAACGCCTCGGAAACCGCGGTGGAGAAGTACCGTTACGAGATTCTCTTCGGCGCCTGGCTGGCCGTCACGGGCGCGACATTTCTTCGCATCAAGCGTCAGCCCTACTCGACCCGCCTCAAGATCGAGCAGTACGAGAGCATCTTCAAGGGCACATCTCTCAGCGCCGTGCTGATCGGGATTGGCATCACACCTGCGCGGACGACAGCAAGGCGATTCAGCGGGAATTGAGCGGAGAGGCTCGCTGTCGATGCTCCGCAGAGAAGGGGTGGAGAGGTCGCGTCTGGTTGACCTTGGCGCTTCCCCGCAACTTTCACATGCGAACACCCGTCATCGTTCTTTCCTTCTCCACCACGGGTCGCCATCATGTTTCTTCGACTGGGCTCATCCAGCCTTGAGCTCAGTCTGTGGAATCCCGTCTATGCCGTCACGCCCTTCATCCTGCTCTCCGTCTCCATCCCGCTCGCCGTCTTCGCCGTCGTCACCACCTCAATCGCCGTATCGCTCCTTTCCTTCCGCGCATTAACCGTATATTGCCGTCTCGCCATTGCGATCATAGGCGCATGGCTATCTCCTTCGGCTTCGAAGCCAGTGCCGCTTCGGGCTCCTCTTATACCTTCGTCCGCCCGACACTCCCCGACTGGGCAGCGCCATCGCCGCACAAGCACAGCTAGCACGACATCTTCGCAAGATGCAGCTCTACACTCGGCGCATACGTCACGTCTCCTGAAACATAAGAACAACTCTCTCACGGCGCTCATTGGTACAAGTGAATTGACGCGTGACTTTGAAGGCGTGGGAGGGTGGAGAGTGCCGGGTGACGATGACGAAGAGGCGCTGTGGATGGGCATCAACTCACGGCTCCAATTGCCTGCCGAGACGCCTACTCGGAGGCATGCGCGGAGTCTGACAGGCGGTGCAAGCCCGGGCCAGAGGTGGAGTGCTGGGTCAGAAGCGTTTCGCATGAGCCCGGTGCAGAGCAGGGCAAGGACACCAGTACGCTCTGCCGTCGAGGACGGATCTGGCTACTTCCCTGTACAGCCCACCTCAAATAGTCGGCGTGGTAGCGCCGGCTCCGAGACTGCCAAACAACACCACAGAAGGAAAAGTGGCAGTGGTAGCAGCATGTCAAGTACTGCCTCCGGTCTGGCCATCACGATGAAGGAGGCTGGCAAATGAATCAGCTCCACGGCATACGCTTCTTTCCCGAAGCCCGCTTCATCTCGGCTCTATAAGAAGACCAGAGTTCGATTCTTCGATCCACCTAGACTACAAATCATGCCGCGCTGAATATGATAACGACGTTAGATACCCCGAAAGCGACTAACGCATCATCTCACATGAGCACATCTACGAAACCAAAACACCCCTCTCTCCCAAGAGCCCGTCGTGATGCTTCCTCGATACGAAGAACCACCGCCACACACTTCAGTTGGCGTCATCTTCGACTTGGAGTATATACCGAATACATGATGACAAATAGCCGCCTGTGGAGGAGGAAACCATGCTACGTGCTGCATACGTCGACGTTGACGATTGACAGCTAGTCGCCCTAAAAGTACTGCATACGTCCTCGCTAGTACACAGCATGTTTATTTTCAAGGTTTTGCTGCTACGTAGGTTTTAAACTGGCGATAAGATACCTTTTTTCCCACCAGTGTTCTTTTGGTTCTTTACAATTCGGCCTCGAGATCAGCGAGAAGGATTAGGAGGATGCCCTTGGCATGCAGCTGGCTACATGGGTTTGCAGCAATAACAATTTACCTTCCATATACACCCAGAGCCCCACATGCGTATCGCAGTGATCGTCGAGTATATAGCCAGCGTTCTCAAAGGCTAAAATGGAGTCGTACGACATTAGGGTAGAACCCGGGGGAGTGACTCCCGGGCCCCGCAGCCATCACACCGATATTGGCTGTTCACTCAACAACATGTGATCGTGGGTCGGATTTGAGAGACGGCAGGCAAAGACGGAAAGCAAATATCTAGAGTATACATTGTCTCTATGTTCACGTCGTGTATATTCCGGACATCCCACTATTCTTATCCTCATTTCCAACACCACCTCCCACAACCACAAACATGCGGCCAACCTTCCTCCCCATCCTCCTCCTCGCCCACCATGTCTCAGCCCAACCCCCCTTCTTCAACATAACCATCCCCCCCATGCTCCGCTTCCAATGCTCGCAACTCGTCGTCGAGCGCCTCGACCCCCTCGTCTTCCCCTCCCTCATCCCCTCCCCCCACCTCCACCAAATCGTCGGCGGAAACTCCTTCACAGCCTCCATGCCCCCCTCGCACGACCTCGTCACCGCTTCCACATGCACAAGCTGCACTTTCTCTGAGGACTTCTCAAACTACTGGACCGCCGTCCTGTACTTCCGCGCTCGCAATGGCACGTATAAAAGGGTGCCGCAGTTTGTTAGTGAGGGGCTGAAAGGCGCGGCGGGGATAACGGTGTATTATACGCCTGATACAAAGAATCAGACTGGTGTCACGGCGTTCAGACCGGGGTTTCGCATGTTGGTTGGGGATGCGTTGGCGACGGAGAAAACGTCGGCTCGGAAGGTGTGTTATAGGTGTATGCCGGAGACGGGTGATAACATGCATCTCAACTGCGCGGCGCCGGATGCGCAGACACTTCCTACGGGTTTCTGTCCGGGCGGTATTCGCTCTGTTATCACTTTCCCCACGTGTTGGGATGGCGTTAACCTGGATTCTCCGGATCATCAGAGTCATGTGGCGTATGCGGACGGGGCGGGAGAAACCGATGTCGGGCCTACGGGGACGTGTCCTGAGTCACATCCTGTGGCTATTCCGCAGGTTATGTATGAGGTTATGTGGGATACGAGGGAGTTCAACGACGAGGGGTTGTGGCCAGAGGATGGAAGTCAGCCTTTTGTGCTTAGTACGGGGGACAGGTGAGTTCTCTTTATCCTCCTCGAACGTTGATCGAGTCTAACGGGTTGTCAATACAGCGACGGGTTCTCGCAGCATGGAGACTACGTGTTTGGCTGGAAGGATGATTCACTCCAGCGTGCTATGAATGCGCGCTGTATAGGTGATAAGTGTTCGGTGCTGGACTATCAGACTACTGAGGAGGCGATGAAGTGTACTATTCCGCGGACTGTTGATGAGGATGTTGATGGTTGTAAGTTATGCCGTATTATTATACAAATTCTATACTAATCACTCGATCTAGGGTTGGCAGAACTTCCTGGAGGTCTTATGAAGGTTTGAAAAAGAGCCAATGTGCGTGATTCGATGGATTAGAATAACTCGATGATTCAATTGTATGTATGCGACACGCAAGGTTTAGAGTTCT